TCTGGCAGAGGGGGTGGGCGGCTGTTAAATTACAGGGGCTGTGAGGCCGAAGGCACGATAATCCTTCCGATAAAACATTAACGACGGCCTAGCTAAAGCTAATCCTCGCCGTGTATCCGACTCGGCATAATCCCACTGCTCTCCCGGCCACAAAGCCATACCAGCATTAACAACTCTCTGGAGCGAACAGGGTAGTTCCGGGAACTGCGGAACAGGAGAGGGTCAACGGAGAAGTTAAAAGCCGTTCCATTCATGTCTGTCTGTGTTTATTATTTATTATTATTATAAGTTAGTCACTAAATTAATGCTCTTGCAAGCTTCTAAATTAATATTTTATGTATGGCTGAAGAAATGGTTTATTTAATACTTCCAGCTACATAAAGTTTATTAATCCGAGTCAAACCGTCAAACATAAAAAGGGGTGATTCATTTCTTATCTACGATAAGTACAATGCTCACATAAATTAATAAGCTAATTTATAAGCTTTTTATATTAACTATCTACACTAGATAACAGACAAGTCTAGTTTTGTTATGAAGAAACTTTAATTCAGATTTTGAACAAACTTCATTTCCGTTTAGGATTTCAGAAGAATTTCAGAGGAAACGTTTAATTTTCTAGAAGAACGAGAAGGAATTTCAAAAATAAAGGAAGAAAGTAATCATCAGAATTATAAAACTTTTATCATTATCATTCAGTGCAAAGGACCGAAGTTTCAGAAAGTAGATCGCACATTGTATTTTTTTTTAATTAATTTTTTTACGAGGGTTCCCAACAGCAGAGGTTATATAAACCCTCAGGGTGCCGGTGTTTTTGGAAAAAAGCCCATTTGTAAGTATATCGGGTTCGAAGCCGCTGGATTCGAACCCGGGACCTTTACCTTAGAGTGATGAGCGCCGTGTCAAAGACTAAACCTTGCAGCCACCGACGCCCCCTCGCAAATTGTATTCATTTAATTTTATTTACATTGCAAGGCATAGTTTATTGTCTGATAAATAATAAGTATAAAAGTATAAAGTTATTTTTACTTCATTTATTTGTATCTACAACTGTACATGTATTATACAACCAGCAGATTGGATTTCAGATTATGTGTTTGGCATTATGGGCGTTATAGAGACAGCTACCCATTGGCTGTTGCTCTGGATTAATAAAATGATATTAATCATTTAAGAGGTCTCTTATCCATATTCTTTTCAGACGTTTACGTGGTAATTGTGGGGAATGGAGTAATTGTATTTGTGTGTTGGTGTGATTTTGTAATTTACTATGAAAACGTCTGTAATATGTTTGATGGATGAAAAAACTGTTGGGATTTGAAGATCTCTGTGAAGTGTATTATTTTTTACATAAAAAGGGGCAGAAACAATTAGTCTTAAAATTTTGGATTGAAAACTTTGTAATCTTTGAATATTGGAACACTTCGCCGATCCATATACTTGGGACCGTACATCCAAATAGGTTTGAGTAGGTATATGTATTTCGAAAATTTTGATTTTAATTAATAATTGGTAAAGTTTCACGACGGAGTGTAAAGGTGATATGTTGTGACGTTGAGGGNTGTTTTTTCAAAGTGAACGTACATTGGATGCACTTTTCTCCGTTTAACCTTGTCCTCCACTTTTTGCACCAACCTTCGATGATAGTTTTTAATAAAAGGTTTTAATTGAAGTGATAAAAAGACAGGTAGATGATAAGTCGGTGGAGGTGTTTGTGTGAAAAGGGATATTATTTATTCTCTTACAAACAAAAAAATCCAGTAGATCCGCAGATTTTTTGTTTGATGTTGGTAGAACATAGAAGTATAAAGTAAAAAAAATAAACGGAAACTGAGGGCATGCTAGTCCGAGAAGACATCAGAAATTCCACCTCACTTGCTAAAAATGCCCCCAAATAATATGATTCGGTTTTGGACTTGAGCTCTGCATACATACACACATACACAGATTTGAGCCAATCATTTCTCGCAGTCCACCGCCAATTTCAGCTTCAGTGCTTTACAACAAATCACGGAAGGCCTGACTCGAGTATCAACGCGGGTGGTGGCAGACTGGGGGCAGACCTCAGTCTTATCATGATGCTGTCGACACCTAGGTCAAATCATCACACTGTTCTTAATCCAATCGAATTCTTACTCCCATTCATTCTTAAATACATTCTGTCCTATACCATTCATGCAAGTTATCGTTACGTTAAGTACGCTATTACTGATATTTTCATTCATGATAAAATGGCTACAAATTACAAAAGTTTTTAGTTATTCTTTGTTTAGTGATGAATGCACTATTATTTATTAAATAATAATATTTATTTTAAAGATGAGATGATGCATCGACCTGCTTGCTGAACAACTTGAGTAAAAGAATCTTCAGTGAGGTCACACCAGAAACAACAAACTCTTTAGGTCTTTGCCGAGCTTTCGACGATTATACCGTCATCATCAGGGACTATTAATTTTAGCAAAGTACCACTGTTAGAAACATGTTATATCCTTTAAAAACAGAATTACAAAGAACAATTATTTATCTTACTTTAACTAGATGAGTGTTTAAATATATCTGAAGAACAAGAAACTGCATATGTAATAATAATAATTAAAATTAGGTGAAGCTCAGTATCTAAAACAATGAACAGTTTGGAGTTAATAAAAACAATAAAACAATGTAATATAAAATAAATATTTATTTTCTTTTTATGTATGTGGCATAGCTCAGGTAGATGGTTGAAAAACCACGTCTTAGAAGCTATTTGCTATTACTTTTTTAAGCTATCATTATTATTAGTTGTATTTTAACTATTTTCTACATACTGTTTGAAAGGCTGTACAGAAAATGTATGTATATGTCAGTTGGAGATCGTGAGGTGCGGTCTGGTGTGACGTAGGTTTTAGAAAAAAATTTCTTTATCATACCAACGTTTCGATCTTTATTGAGATCATCTTCAGAGCCTTGTGTTGTCCTCATTTCAACAAAAAAGTTCTCTGATTGATCGCCGATGCAAGTTTTTCTCACTGTTGGCTATGTCCTTCAGAATATTGGCATGAACACGGAGGTCAGCGAGGACAGTTTGCCGACCCCCTTTAAGTGTAGGGGTGGGTCCTCAGAGGAGCTTTTCTGAGATCCTACTAGTACAGACTTTTAGTAGCATGAATGTGAATTGTGTCTGTTTGTAAATGTAGTTTAATTTGAACCAATTTGGTATATTTGGGCAAAGATAACAATATGAAGGATTTTGAAAACTGTTTTTTTTGTCATTATCTAAAAAAAATAATGGAATTCACATTTAGGTTTATTTAGCTTGTTTCTTATGCGAAATAGTAATAATTCTATATTTTTAAGAATTAATGTGACTGTTACATGAACCAGATATTGAAACAATCGTGTAAGAACGGCGGTAGGAAGCTACTATATTTAACATCAGTTTTATTTGTATTTGGAGAAATTTATCCTGGAAAGCTCCACCATTTTAGGCGTTCTAAAAACCTCGCTTCCAGCATGGCACAGTTTGCGGAAGTGATCTGTCCAGGCATAGCGCAGAGTCCTGTACACGTCAGTCATCGTTTAGCTAGATGGTGGAACTCGCCTCCTTGAATGACGCCAATTTCCTCTGCCTCCTAAATCATTCAAGCGTACCGTTTCTCCACATTTTCTCATTAACTGCTCCCTAATTGTCAGTCAATATTATTTATTCACCTATTTACCGAAAGAAAAAGTACATCTGATAAAGAAAATTTTTTTTGCCAATTTTAAAAATGGCTCCAGTATACATGTCGTTGTCGAGTTCCATGGTCATTCCTTTCTTTTGGGTGTTTTTGGTTTTGTTCATTTTATTGTGAGTAAAAAAGGTTTTAAATTTTTATTTTAATATTACACGCCACTTCTTACATAAACAATAACACACTTTACACGGATCTTCACTTGCCCACAGTTTTTTCAACCACCAAAACATATTACAGACGATTTACAGAAAATTATAATATCACGCTAATACACAAATACGATTATTCCATTCCCTACGATTACCAGGTACTTATATAAGAAAACCACATATCAACAATTGAAAAATGGAGCAATCTTTGTAAAATAATGTTTAACCCCTCAAAGTCACTACTCCGTCGTGAGACTCGTTCTAGCATAAACTTACAGCCTTGTAGTTTAGCATATAATACAATGAAGTTAACGATTTGGGACTTACATTTGCTAGAAAACTAACTTAAACTCCAAAAACACGATTAAAAAAAACAGACACTTAGGGAGTAGATTTAAAATGCTTTATTATCTATTTAATCTACCATCAAAATTACCATTAAAATCAAAACATTCGACATACTACTCAAACATTTTTTAATGTACGGGTGCCAGGCTTATGGATAAGCCAAAAATTCCAATATTCAAAGATTACAAAGTTTTCAATTCAAAATTTTATGACTAATTGTTTCTGCTATTTTTACATAAACGATAACACACTTTACAGGGATCTTCACATGCCACCAGTTATTTCATCCATCGAAACATATTCCAGACGACTTTACAGGAAATTACAAAATCACACTATCACACAAATACGATTATTCCATTCCCAATTCCGGACAATTGCCAGGCAAGCGATTGAAAATATTATGGATAAGGGACCTCTTAAATGGTTATTATCATATTATTAATCCAGATTGACTGCCATTGGGTAGCTTTCTCTATAACGTCCGTAATGCCACAATCAAAAATTGAAATCAGATCTGCTGGTTATAATAATACGTATATATCTGTTATCTATCAAGTGGTAGAGCAGCGGCGTATTTAGGCGAAGGTCGTAAGTTCGAATCCCGCTCGTGACACTGATTTTTTTAATCTCAACCAAAGCCTTAATTGAAAATACGTATATAGTTGTAGATGAAAATGAATGGAGTAAAAAAATGTTACACGGTTCAAAATTATTACAGATGTTATCTAGTGAAATTTGAAATTATTTTTATTTAATTTTCGGATGACAGAATTTTCTTATTTTAGTTGAATTTTCTTTTCATAATGTCTTTGCAGGAGCCGAGCAGTCTTTCAAAGCAATCTGTCTGCAAGAAAGCTAAGCGTACTGACCCTGAAGCGATATAGGCGTTTCGGTTTTCCTCTGGCATTACGGAAATTTCACCGAAGTGGTCGCCTTTCTTCAGAACTGAAAGGACAGTCCCGTTTTCGTTCCCTTCTTTCACGAGTACGCTACCCGATTCGACGAAAAACATCCCGCCGGCTTTGTCTCCGACTCTGAACACGACCTCCCCGTCTTTGAAAATCTTCGTGTCGAGGGTGTCCGAGAGCTTGTTCTTCTCTGTAGTGTCGAGGACGCGGAACATGGGCACCGAGGAGAGGGCCTCGTCGTAGAACTTACGCTTCCGGAAGGCACCGTTTACGACGATCTTTCTGAACGTGACCCGGTCCATCCTCCAGAGACTGCCGTCTGAAAGAGCCGCGACGCTACACGTTCTAGGCATGTTGTACAAGAGGGCGATCTCGCCGAAGTGGCCCTTGTTCTCGAGCCTCTGGAGGACTTTAGATTTTCCCAGTTCCTCTTTGCTCATCTCGAATATTCCGTCCTGGATCACATAAAACGAATCGCCCTCGTCGCCCTGTTTGAAGACCCAATCGCCGCATTTTACTTTGATGTCCGCCATGGCGTTTACGACTTCTTGTATCTGGTCGGAGTCAAGCCCTTTGAAAGCTAATATCCCGCTGGTCTCCTCGGTGAGTTTCTGAGCCTCTTCGGACGTTTTGTTGAAGAAGGGCACCGTAACGTTCGAGTCCATGTCGGGGTTGATCGATTCCGAAAAAATGGAATGTCTCCGAGAAGGATCCAGGATGTACAAGAACTCGTTCGCTCCGATATCAGGAAGTTCTCCCATTATGTATTTAAATCTAATTTGTACAAAATCTACCTACTTATAAAATTAACTATTTGAATTTAAAACAGAAATGTTTAAATTTTTACTAAAATAAACATATGTTTTATATGAAAACAAATAATTTATTTTAAACTGTACGTTAGATTGCATTTTAAAAAAATCATGTATCTAAAATTATTATTTTAGAAACAGTGAATTTTTGCGTGATTGCATATTACAACTTTTGCAACTTTTCTTTTGGTACCATGAGTACATAAATTGATTTTGGCCTTAACAAGTCGGAGAAGATTTAGTTTTAACGAAATTTGTTGTTAGGAAATAATTTTTGACGATTGGATATCGAATGCTCTTAAATACACTGTTGAATTGAGCGTCATAAAACTTTCGAAAAATGTACATTTATTGGGATTTGAAATAGTTAGGGTTAATCCAAAACTTTTTGGTTCATGAAAAACTAGATAAATGTAAAGATCCCCAAAAAAGGGGGGGATTTATTTTTATATAACTTACCCATTACATTAGGCCTTAAATCTGCATATAAATAATATTTTTAAATAGTTAAAATTAAACTTGTGATCATATTTTAATGCGATTTGATGGAAGGATCTGACGTGGAGGTCGAGTTGCAGATACGGCACGTGCCAAACCGCAAGTACGCCCCTCTGGCACGTGCAACTTGACGTGTTTCAAATTGTTTTACAACCGACATCTTACTCAAGCACATCTGTTCTGTATTGTGTTCTTTCTCGGCTTCTAAAGACCATTGCGTCAATGGAATTTACATAACGAAAAAAAAGAACCCATTTGAGACTATTAAAGGTTTCGTTGTCTGATTGTCACCCTTGGACAATTTTCACATGGATGTACTTGATGCAGAGGGATCGTGTTAACATGATGTAATGTGGTTTTACAACGGGGAAAGATTCAAGTAGTTATGAATTTGATCACGCTGTATGACGATTAACTTAGGACTATGTACACTTATTTATTCGAAAAAAGCATATGATTTTTTTTAATGTTCATCTCTATGTGCATGTAATCGGAGGGAGTGTACGGTTTATTTCTATCATGTTTCCTCGTTAATCTAAATAATACAGCCCTCGTGGTAACGTTGTTCACCCCCCCAGCTGGGAAAAAAGTCTAGTCGCCACTCGGTCCACTCTTCCACACGGACGTCAATATTTCATGAAGCCGTTGGAAAATTTAAAAACCTGCTGTGTGCCGGGCCCATTCACAAAAGTCAGGAGGATTATCTCTTTTACTACTTCACAGGGAAAAAGGATTTCAAACCGGAGATAATCCCTATTTCGGTTCATATTTTTTTAATTTATTTTCCCTTAACGCCTTTGTTTTTAACCCTTCTGCGCTTGCCCCCCCTGCCAACCTGTAATATCGAGAAAAAAAACGGGGTAATCCTCTGTATTTTTTGAACTTTGAGAGTGGGTGCATTTTATAGGTGAGCATTTGGTAAAACAAAGGCTTTTGCTTACTGGAATTTACACGCTCAAAACTGTACTCTTTAATATAAACTGAAAATCATAAAACATGAACCGTCTTTTTTATGAAGATAATATATAATGAATAGAAGATGTGGACAATATAAACTTAAATTTCTGTATACATTAAGCATTATATGTGCGAATTTTTTATATACACTATAATTATTCATATATACAAATTTAAATGAGGGAAAACAAAAGCTGACTCTAGGTTGCGAAGAATCAAGTGGTGACACTTCCACAAGAGATTAACAGTATTAGGGGTAGCTGCATGTTTTCACCGTCATTATGCTTGTGTCAACTTGATATGACCTATGAGCAACCTGATAAGTGTGATCTTTTCCCTTTTTGACCCAGCCTCCGAAGACTATAGATGGTCTTCATTAAATTTGAAAAATTTAGACTTACCTCTTTAGGTCTATTAATTTTTTATTACATTGGCAATCGTTCTTTTAAAATTGTGCTGGTAAAGTCGTGTTGACTTATTGCGGCTAACTTTTCTGCGGAACGATCTGACAGTGTTTATATAATTTGTATGGCATATCGCGCATTGTGAAGTAGGCAGAATAAACATAAATTAGTGTGTTCAATTTGAATAAATTTAGAATTTTCGTATTGGTTTAGCTTTTAATCGTACAAGATTCGTTTTTACGCCATCTTTATTGAGGAACGCTATCATAGTTAAACATCTCCCATTAATAATAGTCGGGCACAGCTATTTTACTTCGCAAAGTTTGATATCTGTTATGTTCATGTTCTATGTTGATGTTGATATCTGTTATGTTATATGTTCAACCAGATTAGTGTTTATCGTCGTTATAAGGTCGTGGGTTCGAATCCTGCTCGTGACACTGACTTTTTAATCTCAAATTAAAAACCTTAATTAATTGGATGATACTAATTGGTCAAGCGGACCACGAAAAATAGTGAATTTAATGAATTAAAATTAAGTATACTTCACTAAAGCTCTCCCTGGCCATTTCATTTGTCGCCGTGAATGAAATAGATTACACGACATTTGAAAAATGTAAAAAAGGAGGGAAAATTCAAAAGGTGGGGTTGAGATGGGAAGTTAGTGCCCGAGGGGATCAAAGTCACGATAGCTCAAGTGGTAGAGTAGCGTCGTATCAAGCCGAAGTTCGTGGGTTCGAATCCCGCTCGTGACACTGACTTTTTTATCTCAACTTAAAAACCTTAATTAATTGGATGATATTAATTGGCCAAGCGGACCACGAAAAATAGTGAATTAGAGTTTATTGTTTTATTACGAGTTGAATATCCAAAGGGTGGATATTGTTTGTGTTTTATTAGTCAAGATATTAAATAATTGTGAGATTTCCTCCGATGGTTGACCTGATAATCCTATTGTTTGATAGTTACCTATCATCCTGAGCTGCCTATTTTTTCAATTCAGATGCGTTTCGGTATTTCGCCGTTTGGGTGATATTTGTTGAGTGAAATTTTACTTTTGACGTTGTCTTTTGCTAGACTTCCCCGAATTTTGGCCTTGAAAATATTAAACAAGAAAATATTTTGGGCAAAATAATTGGAAAATTTGTGCCTACAACATGGTTTAACCCTTTTGAGTTACTCCGCCTTAAATAAAAATAGTGTGGAAAGCCTAGTAAATGTTTTGAGAACTGATTTTAAAAATAATCTAAAATGAAGAGCTCAGAGGTCTGTCTTCCATGGTATATACAATGAGTTGAATCTGGAATTAAGAGAAAATCATCATTATTTAAATAAAAATTATAATTTGAATATGATAAGTGTGACAATGAAGGCAAGAGGTCAACTGCTGCCTCTTAATTACTCGGTTCACAGAAATGAGGAGGCGTACCGTTGTGCATAGTGTAATTTAGGTGTGTAAGAGGATGGCTTCCATTTTTTGGCGGTGTGCCCTATCTTGAAGGAATTCACACTTAGGTGGTTTGGCAAATTGCTTTTAGAAAAAATGAAGTAATTTCATTTTTGAAAGGGCAGAACTGGCAGAGTCTCTACAATTATGTTTTGTTCTCCCTCAAATACAGAGCGCTCCTAATCGATAATTTCAATCATTAATAAATTATGGCTATTAGTATTATTATTATTAGTATTCTTATTATTAACATTATTAATATTATTCTATGTTGTTTTTTTTCTTTTGGCAACTCGACAGACAGCCTGTGGGATGTTTTATGTACTGAATATTTTCTTTAAAATAATTTTCATTGTACATAAATTCACTAGTTTCGTGGTCCGCTTGACCAATTAATATCTTTTAATTAATTAAAGGTTTTTAATTGAGATAAAAAAAGTCAGATTCACGAGCGGGATTCGAACCCACGATTTTCTGCTAAATACGACGCTGCTCTACCTCAAGCTACTCTACCTCATAGCTCAAGTAGTAGAACAGCGGCGTATCTAGCTGAAGATCTTGGGTTCGCATCCCGCTCATGACACTGACTTTTTTTAATCTCAACTAGAAACCTTTAATTAATTAAAAAATTGTAAATAATTACACAACAGTGTTTCATGTGTTAAGTCGGGGTCTTTTTGATTGTTCTAGTCGACTGTTTGATCTTTATTTCTCTTTCTTTTTAACTTGGACAGTGTTTTTATTGGTGTAAAAGATGTTTATGAGTTATTATTAACGATTATTTGGAGATCGTGAGATGCGGTCTGGTTGACGTAGGTTTTAGAAAAAAATTTTCTTTATCATGCCAACGTCTCGATCTTTATTGAGATCATCTTCAGGGCTCGGGGTTTGTTTTCTGAGTAGATGTGTCATTATTGGGTGTCGCGTTGAGAATGCCTGTGAGGAAGGAAGTTGGGACAGAAAACATTTTTATGTGAGGAGTCTTCTTTGAGGTAGGACGGAGCCAACAATGGGAAAGAATGGGTAATGGTTTAGCCTGATTATCCTTTCAGGATTATATAAGCAGGGATAATTAGGAAGAAGAAAGCTTAATTGTTGAAAAATTAGACATGTAGAAATGTTTGAGGTGTGGAATGTAATTATTTTATATGTTTTGTGTGATTTGATGATGATATATGTATGTTATCGATATTTTGATTAATGATATTAGCGAAGCTGCGACTAAGTTTACACGTGTCCGTTCTGGATGCTGTGTTTATCCCTGTTGATGTAAACCATTCCTAAAAAGTTACGTTTATGTTTGTCTGAAGTCCAAATTGTGTTGGTGTTCAAAATGGTGGGTAGCCAGTACTTTGGAATTTTGCTTGGGTTTTTTTGCAACCATAGATTTGTTGCTTTACTCTCTTATATATATTGGAATGTAATTCCGATTAAGTTGCCGGACAGTTCAAACAATTGATTTTGTCAATTACGTCAGACTTATTGTTACTGGCGTGGGATCTTTAATTTTGAAAAAAAGTGTGTGAATTGATTTGTATTGTTTGAAAGCTATTTTAAAGTTTTCAGAAAAGAGGAATGTGTTTAATTTATGTGATAGGCCGTGAATGACTGGCATATTGGTTTTTCTGTATTTGATAGATTTG